ATCCTGCGTGTCGACGTCTCCGGGCTCCGCCGGCTGCGGCAGGTCGGCCATGCCGAAGCTCGGGCTTCGGGCCCCCCGCGCGCGCGCTGTGCGGCCCCTGGCCGCGGCCCCCCCCTGCTCCTCTTGCGGGGGCGGAGGCTGTGCGCGCGCATGCCTGGCAGTGGCGCGAGTGACTACCTGCCAGACCACCCCAACCCAACCCGAAGACTCGAATTTTGGGTTGGGGGAGTACGGGCTCCATGTGTGTTTTTTGAATGTTCCCCGACCCCCCCAAACTGGAAATGGAAGGCAAATTGCGGCCTTCGGGTTGAGTTGGGATGGCTTGGTGGGTGGTGAGCGAGGGCCCAAAGATCCGAGGCTCCGAAAAAATGGGAGCGGCCGGTTTCTCGCCGTTTTCGGTCGGCTACACGTGAGAGTGACCCTAGGCAAGAGTGACCCTTCGTGCGCGGACTAGGAGGGCGCAAGGTGGCCAAATCCAAACGCGCAACTGCCGATACCGCATCGTGCTCAGTAATCGGGGGGACCCCAGTGAGCCCGCACCAGAGGTCACTCTGGCGAAGGCTCGCTCTTACGCTTACGTGGTCGATTCGACCTCCGGGGGCCCTCAAGGGGCCCCAGGACCCTCAAAGCCGACGCAGGATGAAAACTGGCCATAAGCAAGTTGCCCAGACCTTTGGGAATCCACGCATCAAAAAAATTGGAGCGCCGGATGTCTGGGCCTGCCAATGGCGCAAGGGTGGAACAGAAGCACGAGGAGAGCGAGGAGGCTCCTCTCTCTCTCTCTCTCTGCCTTGCCTCACTGAGCCTCTCCTTTCTCTCTTCCTGGATGTGGCTTTGAAACAGCAAAAAAGCAAACATATTAGCAGCAACAGCAACAACCAAACAACGATAACCACAAAAACAGCAAAAACAACAACAACAACAACAACAACAACAACAACAACAACAACAACAACAACAACAACAACAACAACAACAACAACAACAACAACAACGACAACAACAACAACAAATACAACTACAACAACAGTAAACACAACAACCACAATAGCAATAACAACAACAACAACAACCACAACAACAACAACAACAACAACAACAACAACAACAACAACAATCACTTTACCCGAACGCTCAGTGTTCTCACCAGTGCCAGGGTTTTCATGCGACGCCAGCCAATACCCCCACTTTGTGGGGGGGCAGTGCAAGCTCTACCAAATATCCACACGACTCTTCGCCACCACCCACACCCAGCTTCCCGCCCTATGACGTTCGGACACTTCACTTCGTGGCCTGCGGACGACCGTGGCTACTACACTGGCGTGGAGTACACACCCACAGAAGTTGTTAGGACAGCGCGCGCGGGTAGAAATTTTGAAAAGTCGTGCAGGTGTTTTTCGAGGACCTACGGTGCGATTCGTGTGATTTTATGATGCGCGGTGCTAAAATTCTTAAGAAGCCCAATGGTTTTTGGAGATTTCGGCGTGCGCGCGCGAAGAAAAAACGAATGTGTCCCGCATGGTATTATTTGACAGGGATGATGGCCCTGGCAGGTGCGCAACCGTTGTCGCAGAAGTTCGAAAAAGTTGCTCGCAAAAGCCCGTTTGACAGAAATGTTTAAAAAGTGTTGGGTTTCCTACGAATCCGCAAGAGCGCGCGGGATGAGATTTTGACAATTTTTTTGTTGAAAAACCATTGGTTTTTTGATGTTTTTATGTTAAAATCGCTGCGAACACTAAGGTTTTGGAAGGATTTCGTCTTGCGCGCGCGAATGTCCACTTTACCTTATTTTTTGCAAGGGATTCTTGAAATTTGATTATATTAGAACAAGAAATGTCATTTTATAGTGTTTTTTGCAAGGGAAAACGGATTACAACAAAACAACCGGATCTGGATCACATCGTTTTACCTGAGGCTTCCTCACGAAAATGATGAAAATGTAGCTGCGGCCTAGGCGGCGCAGGGGGGGCGTGCACCAGGGGGCCCAACAATAATTATTCTTTAGAATAAATAATGTTCAACAACAACAACAGCAACAGCAACAGCAACAGCAACAGCAACAGCAGCAGCAACAACAACAACAATCATTTTAAGACTGTTCGCTCTTACTGGCACGCGTGTCTTGCATTCCATTTACCCCAACCCTCGATACCCGCCCACTTCGTCTTCGATTGCCCCCCCTTCCGGGGGGGATCTCTTCCTTGTCGGCCACTGACTGACGAGCGATGAATCCTCGAGCGAAAGCGCCGTTCCTGAGTTCGGGGGCCTCTCTGGCCAGGGGCTCTCGGAATTCCGATGGTGAAATATCGAACGGGAGCTTTGTCGCCGTGTCCGGCCCTCCACCAGCTTGCCTGAATTACGGGAAAGTCTCGAGCGAGAGCGCCGTTCCTGAGTTCGGGGGCCTTTTGGCCAGGGGCTCTCATAATGAATCGTGAGGGAGTATCGAGCAGGAGCCCTTGTCGTCGTGGCTGGGCCTCCGCCAACGAAGTGACTGAATTGGGACGAAGTCTCGAGCGAGAGCGCCGCTCCTGAGTTCGGGGGCCTCTCTGGTCAGGGTGTAAATTGTGAGGAAGTATCGAGCGGGAGCCGTTTCCTGAGTAAATGGAGAGGAAATCTCCGACGAGAGGGGGGGAGGCCCAGAGTAAATTTGGAGGAAGTCTCAGGCGGGAGCCGTTGTTGTTGTAATCTGGGGGGCCACGAAACGCTGTACTGGGTGGGTGAAAATGCCAAATTCGGCGTGTGGGACGCACGCGGGCGGTCCCACTGGGGGTTTCGGTGGAGCTCCCTATGGGGCCACGAAACGCTGTACTGGGTGTGCGGAACGCATGCGGACGGTAGCACTGGGCCCCTCGGTGGGGCTCCCTATGGGGCCACGAAACGTTCCGGGCAATCTGTTGGGACCTCTTGGGATCCCTACCTCCAGATGGCCAGCGCCTATAACGGCGTCGACCATGGCACAATGCGCGCGACACCGCCGGGGTGGGGCAGCATACAGGCCCCCACCCTCAACGGAGGCATGCCTGATGTCATAGGAACTGATGCTATACAGTAGACGGGCGCCCTCACCACATGGCCAGCGCCCACGACAGTGTCGTTCATGATTCACCGTGAGCAACAACACCAACCTGCGCTTCTCTTGAAGGACATCAGGTTGCACAGTATACACCCCCAGAAGAGGAAGCGCCCTCCTTTCTGGAAGACCTGAGGTAGCACAGTAATGTCAGCTTGTGGCTAAACAAAAACAAGCCAGGCGCGATTCAAAAAATGGTGTCCCTGTTCGGGCGAATCGCGAGGAACGCAGATGGAAACACAGCGCGGCCCCGCCAGTGACCAGCGCCGACGCTTTGCCTCCAGCTGGCGGGCGACAGGCACGACGCACGGGGCGCCGCTTGATTGACTACCTACCAGACCACCCCACCCCAACCCGAAGACCCGAATTTCGGGTTGGGGGGGTAAGGGTTCCACGCGTGTTTTTTCAATGTTTCCCGACCCCCCCCCCACTAGAAATCGAGGGTAAATCTGGGCCTTCGGGTTGGGTTGGGGTGGTTTGGTGGGTGGTGATTGATGGAGGGGGACAACCGCGCCTCCACTACAACGGGGCGTTTGGGCCAAAATGGCGATAGGAAGAAGACACAAAGGAGGCGGGGGACAAAGCCACCTCAGAGCTGGCGGGCGGTGCCGACATAGCTACAAACATGATCGGCCCACGACCCCGGAAGGGAATATAGAGCTGTAACGCATGGCAACGCTTTCAAAGACACCTGATTGGGTGACGGGCAAATGCTATGCTGAGTGTATCGATCTTGATGTACCCTGCCGAGGGCTGTGCTGTGCTGCACCGTGCTGAACTGCGATGTGCCGTGCCGCGATTGTGCTCTATAGCATCGTGGATCGAGTCCTCCTTTGCATCCGAGTCCTGACCGAACTGATCTGGATCTTGAGCTCGAGCTGCCTGAACACACAGTAGCATCCCCAGAGCTAATTGACAGGGGAGCATTCCAGGAGGACGCGCCGCGAAACGTCTCAAGGGACGCGCAAGGCGACGTGCCAGGGGACGTGCCATGGGGTCACACCGCGGGACGTGTCAAGGGGACGCGCTACGGAACGTGCCAATGGATGTGCCACGGGATGTGCCAGGGGACGCTCCACGCGACGTGCCAGGGGGACTCGCCAAGGGACGCCCCACGGAACGTGCCAAGGAACGTGCCAAGTTGCAATGCTGAATGTATCGATCTTGATGTACCGTGCCGAAATCTGTGCTGCGCTGCGCCGCGCTGAATTGCGATGTGCCATGCCGCGATTGTGCTCTATAGCGTCGTGAATCGAGTCCTCCTTTGCATCCGAGTCCTGACCGAACTGATCTGGACCTTAAGCTCGAGCTGCCTGAACACATAGTAGCTGCCCCAGAGCTAATTAAAAGGGGGACATGCCAGGAGGACGCGCCGCGGAACGTCTCAAGGGACGCGCCAAGCGACGTGCCAGGGGACGTGCCATGGGGACGCACCACGGGACGTGCCAAGGGGACGCGCTACGGAACGTGCTGGGGACAAGCGTTTCGCTCGAGACATCCTGCCAAAATCCAAAGAATTCCCAGAACAACAAGCGAGTTAGTCGAGACATCCTCGAAATTCCTGCGCGCGGGACGTGGCACGCGCGAGACATCCTCCGAATTCCTGCACGCGGGACGTGAAAACATCCATTTCGCTTGAGACATCCTCTGAATTCGGGCCCCCCACGAGGCCCCCGCTCGAGACATCCCCCAATTCTGCAAAACCAGCGTTTCGCTCGAGACATCCTCAACAAATGTGAAAAACAAGTGTTTCGCTCGAGACATCCTGCCGAAATCCAAGGAAATCCTGCAAAAAACAAACGAATTAGTCGAGACATCCTCGAAATTCCTGCGCGCAGGACGCGCCACGTGCGAGACATCCTCGGAATTCCTCCGAGCGGGACGTGAAAACAACCATTTCGCTTGAGACATCCTCTGAATTCGGGCCCCCACGAGGCCCCCGCTAGAGACATCCCCCAATTATGCAAAACCAGCGTTTCGCTCGAGACATCCTCAACAAATCATCGACCAAAACAAGCGTTTCGCTCGAGACATCCTGGCAAAATCCCAGGAAATCTTGAAAAAACAAACGAATTAGTCTAGATATCCTCAAAATTCCTGCGCGCGGGAC